ATCTATTTCCCACTTTGTGTTAATGTAATATTATGTAAGCTGTATGTCCACAGTCTTTCCCATTTAAAAACTGTCACAGTCGTTTTACTATTTTTAAAGATACCTTCAAGTGGTCGTCCTCAGAGAGGGGATATCTCGCATCTCTGATAAGATAATTATTTATTTAGTAGGCCTTTTTATTTATGTTTCTATGGCCTTCCTTTTGTCTGTAAAGGCCTTTGAAACTTTACTAACATAAAGGGCTGTATGAATAAATAAACTTCTCTAATGGCACCAGCAGAGCCAAATGTGGTGCTTACATATTGATGCAATGAAGCATCATATAATCCATCTGTTTAACTCTCTCCCTCTGGTCCTACTGGTCCAACTAAGCAACCTAACTGTTTCTTTTCTTCGCTGCTGCATCTTTAAAGAGGCCATATTATGGTCATTTTCAGTTTTATACTTTTATTCTGGGTTTCTACTTGAATAGGTTTACATGCTTCAATGCTCAGAAAACACAGTATTTTTCCTCATACTGTACATTGCTGCAGCACCTCTGTTCCCCCTCTGTCTGAAACGCTTCGTTCAGCTCCTGTCTCGTTGAGGCCTCCCTACTGAAAAGCCCAGTCTGCTTTGATTGGTCAGCTCCCACAGAAGTGTTTCCGCATCATGTTTTTGCTACCAGGGACTCACAACAGAGTCTAGCTGCACTTCTACTGTGAATATCTCCAGAATAACTGCTTCTAAACAAAACCTCACCACTCCACATAATCAAGCAGGAATTGGATACGTATTAGAGGATAAAGCTACTCAAAGTTACACAATGTTGCCGAGCAAATTCATTCCTGCAGTTTGATTTCTTTTTCATAGCTATTAAATGACCACACAGATACCTGCAAGGATTGCGGTGCAGAACGGGCTTCCATATAACAACAAAGCTAAAGCTAAAGGAGCTAAACAAAGAGCAACAAGAAAAAACAGTCACCAGCATCTACTACTCTCATTATTTAGCTGGCTTCAAATGAGGCTTAACGTTCATACAGATTCTCTTGGCTGTCCCTCAACATTAGTCACACATCACCCCAGTCTGTGGGAGTAACATAGAAGCAAGCCACTTTACATGCTAATCCCACGTTTAACAGGCTAACATACAAAATAAACACTAAAACAACATAAAACATGGCAAAACTTACAGTTTCCATGTTCGGAGTCAGGTCACGGACAGCCAGAATTGCTTGTTTTCAATATCGACCACAGTAATCAGTAACTGTGAACTGTGTATGAGAGTGGTGCTGCAGTTTGTAGTGTCGTAGCGCAACATTACAAGACAATGGCACACCAGTCTAAATTTTCAAACAAGATAGAGCAAAACCTTGTTTCTATCGCTCAGATTGCAAGTTGAACAAGGGAGACATTTGACCTTCAAGTCTGCCAGAGCACACACCAAAACAGGAAGTGCATTATTGCATTCATCAGTCGCACGGCATCAATTGAGATGAAAAAGGAAGTGAACTGATTCAAGAGTGATGGCGCCTTCCGCCCGTTCAGGTCCATTGCAGGAGCAGCTACAGACACAGAACAGCATTCCTCTTTCTTTGTGTTGAGCACATTGTCGCATTAGCATACATAACACATATAAGTGTTAAGCACATATAAATATACATCAACTCACACCTACACTGCTAGAAGTGGACTGTACATGCTTAAACGTACATACAGTCTGAAGTGTGAGGGCACTTACAAACTACACACAGTCAAGTACAGGGTTAAAAAGAAACAGGCATTATATGTGGAGGACACTACAAATATCTATTACCGTTGCTCAAATAAACAGCTGAGTGTTTGAGATTTTATTAGATATGAAGAGAGCAGAGGAGAAGGTGAGCTTAAGAACTTGATGTGTGGCAATAAAGAGATGATACATTACCTCCTTCAGCCATTTTATTTAAAAGCAAAGTAGCTGTCTTTTCATTTAGGGATGTTTATAGTTCGAGCAGATTTACGGATGTCCAAGAACAAAAGGGAACATTTTAACAACGTGACAAATCACCAGCCACCAAATGCTGGGAAGTTCTAACTTGCTGGTTAGTCAAACATGCGATTTATAGTTTAAAAATCAGATGCTTAAGTTGCTAAATGATCAGCCACTGTGGTCTGTAGACTAAGCAGCCAGTATCCTGTTCTGAACATCGTGTGACTGAAAGCATTAAAAAGCACTAAAAACAAAACTAGCTGAACTTTTGCAGGTGGGCCTGTTGGTATTCAGCATGGATTATCAGTACTGGGGTTTAAACAAAATGTAACTGGGGAAAAAATGATGCCAAAATAACTGTGAGCATTTCTGTGTAACCCTAGGCATATTTTCAGGCAGCAAAGTTTGTTATGCTGCAGTGTAGAGAAAAGGCCATGATATGAAATAATTGTAGTACAGCAATATATGCTTGCATTAGTACTAAAAACATCACTCATACTCAAGACTCTCAAGTCAGTGCTCATTCAAATGATGAACTTCCCTCCTGGGGAATCAATAAAGTTTTGTTTTGAATTTATATCATGGATAAAGATGTTAATATTTCTAATTTAACACCTTTATCAATGACAATCCCCTTTTAATGTGAAATAAAGATTGATGTCTAGTGTGAGACTGTGCTTGTAAAACTGGTGTTCTGGTGTCGGTGAATGTCTGCTTCTAACAGTCTGAGCAGGTTAAATGCTCACTTTAGGTTTGTGTGAGATGTATGCCAAATTTAGGCAAGTCCTTCATGTTCTTCTAAAGACAGCAGGGATCATTAATAATACTCCCATTAGTCATAACAGCGGCGTCATATGTACACAGATGTGTCCGACATGCCTGAGTTACAGTGCAGATGTGACTGAATGAGATCCTCAACCCAACATGGCAGAATCAAACTGTGCTGGTACACTGATGGGCTTTTAGTTTCCCTGTTTCAACTGATATTTTAAATCCCATCAGACCTACAGAACCAGTAGACTCCTGACTTGATTGACAGTCCACCCATACAGGACTGGTTGCACTGGGATGGATACGTGGAAATAAATATAGAGCTGATACTTGCTGAAAAAAAGTAAACTTCTCTGGATTGTTTCTCAAGATGAATGGATAAATAGATGAATAAACCAGGACAATGGGCGGATAATAAATTTGATTTATGTTAGACGCAGACCTAAAGCTAGAGTGCGGTATTTTTGCATATAAATGAGTATCCGTTACATCCATCAGTGGGTCCTTGAGGGCGTACCAGGGGGTGCCCAGCAAAAAGTTGAATCATTTATTTTCACTGTATTCCGATCAATAAGTAACACAATGACTATTTTGTTCATGGGTTTTATACACTTTCTGTAATAAAACATCTAAAAGCCAAAACCCTATCAGATGGGGGTCCGTAATTTGTGTCAGTTTAGGGTCCATGACGTGAAAAAGTTTGAGAACCACTGCATTACATTGCCAAACAAAGTTTACAAAACCGCCAGGTTTATCTGCAGAATACCAATAAATAAAAAAGGTTTTTCCTTGCCTCTGTCACTTGGTGGGAATTGTTGGATTTCTTTAAATAATATCTCAGAGTACAGTCCAGACCTGCTCTTTTATGAACACTATGTGATAACTGTTGTTGTGATTTGGCGCTACATGAATAAAATTGAAGTCCTTAAAATCTGGTTACATTTCCACACTGGCAAAGTGGTAGTGATGCAGACAGCAGATCCAAAATGGCACCAGCAACTGAACACGTACTCCTGGACTTGTACTCCTTACGTGAACATCAGCTGAGCACGGGAAACTGAACTACAAACACACATTGCATTTTCTCCATCTGCTTGCCATTTCCAACAGTTTTGTAAAACAAATTCTCCTGCTGTGATGTTTGTCCCGATTCCAGTGGTAAAAGTCAAACATTTTATTTCACAAATTATCAAAATACAAGCAGTGACTGGATGAAATGGCAAACCATTACTATCATTTCACACTGGGGTTGAAACACAAGGCTACTGCAACCGATTATGTAGCCAAAAATAAAAATCTTATGTATATGTATAAGTTTAGCTGCTCACAAAAAAACACAAAACACATATTTTATTAAGCGTCTAAAGTCTAAATAAAAGCTATGTAACTGGAAATTAATCATGGATATTGAACAGGATGATTTTAAAGTGTAAAAATATAAATCAGTGTTGAACTGAGCGATCATTTTTCTTCTATTTTAATTTGAACTTGATACCCAAATCAGAGTTATAACAGGCTTAACAGTCGCCATGTAGGTCCTTAAGTGTTAAATCACGGATACATTAATCAACATTAAAACGCCGTGTTCAGCCTGCATCAGTTCTTTACGGAGGACCTCCTGCCCGCTCCGTATCTGTGTTCTGTTTGAATCCCACCGTAGACGAGTGTAGATGAATGACTCCAGTTTTACTTACAGATAATAGAATGTGGTGGATCCATCGTGGATCAGATAGAGGACGCTCTGTCATTACTGCGGTCCCACTTCCAGATAATGTCTACTCTAATCTGATAGTGTATGGACGTCCATTATTCAAACGGATACTTAACTCAGTGGTCAGCAAGCTTGATAAGTGGTAGTTCCATTAGAGGATGGGTGGGCCGCTACTTTTGGTGTTTATGTCTTTAAGCGTTTTACTCAACTCAGTTGTTTTTTTTAACTGTTATAAGTTTTTGTGAAAATAAATGTCTAAAGCTGTCCATGTGTGTTTGAACCCCGAGCAAATAACTATCTGAACACGCCTGATGCCGATACTCTCTCCTGTATGAACTCATAATGCATCTATCTCTTCAATAATTGCTGATTTTTGACACTTCCCCTTCTAAAGATACAGCCTTTCATTCATCCGACGTTTGAGCCATTAGATCTATAATTCATTAATTTGTTTTAAGTCCACGATCCATCCTCTCATGTAAATACAAAAGCTGTGACCAAAGCCTGTGTCAGTGAATAAGTTGCCACTCTCAACTATACCGAATTTTGAAGTTAATCACGTACCTTTCTGTCATCTGGTTGCCAGATCAATTCTTCCTGACACCTGAAACAAGAACAAAAATGAAAATGTTTGTTAATTATTATTCACAACTTAATACATACTTAATAAATACTGTGGTGGAAATTGTTTCTTAATTGTCCAAAGGTAAAGAGAAAACATTAAAAACCCTTTTGTTGCAATTATAGATTTTTTTCAAACATTATACAAACAATCAAAAATAGCGTTTTCACATTTGGCGGATTAATGCAATCCACATTTGGTCGGTGGGATTGAAGGGATGGAATCAAGACAAATGATTGTAAATGGTCTGTACTTGGACAGCGCCTTTCAAGTCTTCCGACCACTCAAAGTGTTTTTACACTACATCACATTCACTCATTCATTCACTAAGTGCTCAGAACAGAAACCCTTTGGGCTCACTTTTTAATGCCCTAAGTACCCCTTTGGTGTAGTTTCTTGGACGTGTCGTGCTCCGCGGTCAAATTAGCAACAATAAATACGCAACGTACGGTTAGACTTTATAAATAAAACTAGTGGTTAACGCTGTGAAACAGCACATTTTGGTTAGATTCAGGCACCAAAACTGCTTGGTTCAGTTTAGGAAAACATCATGGTTTGGGTTACAATTACTATGTTCCTTACTGACTTTTGTTTCACCCAGGAAACGAACACAGGTCTCCTGGGGAACGTACGGTTTCTGGCCAACCATCCACCCCAACCACCTCATTACTCAGACTTTTCTGTTATTTCTATCCTATGCCTGCTTTTAGAGTTCATAAATGACGCTACAGGGCTTCCCACAGTGCGTTTAACTATGACACTAATTGGCTTCCCAGTGCGTTACAAACTGACATCAAGGCGTCTTGAACGTGTCCATATGTGACAACGGGTTGGTCACAGAGGAAGAAGAGATATCAGTAGGGCTGGACAATTAATTGAAAAGTAATCAAAACCAAATTTCAGAGCCTCTAACTGACGTAGTTTTCCCATTTTGGTTATTTAATCCTATTAATATTTCCCCTCTGTGTGTGTTCATGTTCATTAACGGACACAGTTTGACCTACACTGTACATCTACTGCCTGAAAGACCTAACATTAACTCCGCTGCTCTTATAACAGCAGCTGTCACGTAACTTAGATGTCCTTCAATGAATGAGGAGAGAAAGCTAGCAAAGTGTGTGTTGCCGTGTGTGCACAGTGTGCGGGTGAAAATCATTTGTTCCGCACTGACACTAATAATTGAGTGAAATTTTAGTAGCAGTGGTCATTATTCTGCAGCGGCGATGCGCCGAATAAAGGGGAACCATGACTCTGTCATGTGCACGTCAACATTACCTTATTAATTAACATTTAGATCATGGATTTTTAATATCTGGAATAAAATAAAGAAATCCAGCTTTAATAATTGAGCATATTTACAGTAGGCTACAAACCTTGTCAGTGAACATTCATAAACAAATAATCATTCAATAACCATAATGGAGGTGAAATTAAACTAATTGTGATTTTAGGTGAAATTGTCCAGTCCTAGATATCAGGCTTTAAAATAATAAAATAAACTGCAGCATTCAAAACTGTAGTCAAAACAACATTAAACTGCACACCTTTACACTATCTCTCAAGCATTTTATTAAGCAGTTAGAGAGTGGAAGGGCAGAAGAGAGAAATGACACGTAGAGGAAATCATGAGTCAGATTTGATGTTGCGAGAATATAGTTGAACCCACGAGTCATCACGACTCCAATTCTCATTCCCACTTTTAGCATTTGTTGGCAAACTGCGTGTTTTTGAAATGAAGAAACGCTGAAATGAAGCAACTCGGAGGCAAATGGTTTCATTTTGAAGATGTAGTGGCAGCTGACAAATGGATGTCATCTTACAGAGGAGAAGGAATGAATGGAAGCAAACACAGCAGAATGAATTACAGGGACGAGTTTTGTTCCATCTACATGTCTCTGGATCTGATATATGACTTACAAACAGTAGGAGAGAGAGAGAGAGAGAGAGAGAGAGAGAGAGGTGGAGTGTGAGAGAGAGAGTTTTTTTTTAAAAATGAGCAAAATATAGATTGATCCATCAGCTTTGAATATAGTCTCCTCCCACTTTCCCTTCTTCCTTCCATCACTCTACAATCTTTTCTTTGCTTGTCCCTTCTCTTCCTCTTTCAACTTACCTGCCCCTTCCTTCCTTCGTTTTCCTTTTCTTTTAAAAAACATATTGTGGAGGAAATCTCACGAGGGACCGTCTACCTCAGAATGCAATTAGACTACTTGAGTTTTAAAAGCCAGCCTGCTACTCTGTGTTTGTGTGTTCGTTCTTGTGGAGGACCCAGTGGTTCTTACTTTAGGATGGAGCTATTTTGAGATTTGGATTTAAAAGATGAGGCAAATGTTAGGTGAAGGTAAGGTTAAGCATTTAATGGGAATAAGTAGTTTGGATGAAATGGCTTCAGGTACAGAGTGAATCAAACAGTTATAGTATGTGTTCCTTTGTCACTCTCAGCATCAAAGCATCATGTTTCAGTGTGTGACGGCTCCAGCTGTCACTGCTTGCTGCAGGAAGTCGACCTCATTTAGAGAAGTACCCACATTGCTCCCGGTGACTTGTGATAAGGGGTCCCATGTTTCGCTTTGAGCTCAATCAATTATGAAGGTAAACACAAGCAGCAGTTAATTTGCTAATGACCATCCTCAGTGGGTTTTATTAATCTTGTAATTGAGCAATAACACGGTAGACCAAGACAGAGATGCAATTACAGCAGCAAAGACCTTCAACTATAACCCTTTGCCAATAAGTTACATATCATACCACTAAAAAGGCTGAGCCATCCAAACAAACGTCCACAAATTAGTCAATTTAATCATCCCCTGGCTGCCAAACTGTGTGTTTACTAGTTCTTAACAAATAAACTCCCCGACTGATCAAAATACAAACCTGTGCATCGTTCGAGGAAGCAGTGGTCATGGTTGTCTGATCTAATCATCTGTAGACGTCACTCCATCCAATCAAGCATCTGCTGATATTATTCTATTAGGAATCCCTCCTCTGTGTGCCGTCGTTAATGCTGAGGCCCTTTTAAAGATGACGGCAGAACAAGCAGAGTTTGTTGCTAAGTAAGGGAGGAGTGCTGGAGGGAGGTATGGATTCAAGGGAAGACTAAGAGTCTATAATTGTGTGGTTTTCCTTTTAAAAGTTGATATATGGGCTAATGGCATTCAGCAGGGAAAGTTTTTATGCTGATGATGGTGTATAGTTTCAAGTTTAAGTAAAGAAGTAAACAAGAGAAGTGCTGAGGCATGAATGTATTAGCATTTCGACCAGCAGACAGGCAGTTATGGACCAAGTGCGCACACATACACACAGTATATTTATTTAATATATGGATGCACATTTACATCAAATGTATATGTACATCCACACACAGCCAGCTGTGCATATTCTCTCCATTTGCAACCCCAAAGAATGTCTGCCAGCTGCACAATACAATAACAATATAACAATAAGTATATATAACGAAGTCATTGTTGTTGTTGTTTCCAGCAGGTGAGACATTCCTAAGTTTGCTTTGTCTTTAATGAGTGAGCTAGCTAGCCTCCTCACTAGTAATGCTGAACAACCACAGGTTTACCTACAACTGAAGGACAAGGGACACTCTTCTGAGGACAACCATGTTGACATTTTGGATCGGGAGGACAGATGGTTTGAAAGACGAGTGAAGGAAGCCCTCTACACAAAAGTAGGGAAACCATCTCTCAACAGGGAAGGAGGTCTGTGACACCACTTATCCCCCCACCTACAATGCTGTCTTTCCACGTCTTCCCAGGAGATTGAACAAACACTCAAATTTGACCTCATGCAACAATGCCAACGGCAGGCGTTCACTCTAACGACCACAACGACTGTCATTATAACAACCAGCAGCACTTACAAACCAAGTGGTATCCATCACATCGATAACGACCCCACAGGGGACTCCTTGTCTGTCAGTTAGAAATGAAGAAGCCTCTTGGATGAGAGATGTATATAAAAATTCCCTTTGGTTTATTAATTGTGTTCATTGGTGCATTTGCAAGTTTAGAATTTATTTTTATTATTAAGATTCATTTGCTAAGTCTTTTACCCCTGATGTAAGTTGGGTACGTCTTTTTTCTCAAGATAAATTAAGTCTAATTAGTGTGTTGTTTTCTTTTCTTAATTTGACGTTAAAGTAACACCACTTCAAGGCGAACACAGCAAATGCTCTATAATGCTATGTAGTTTAGGCTGAGAGATAAGGGGATTAAGGACAGTCTGACAAACACAACCTTCCAGCAAGCCTCATCAAAAACAACTCATTACTTGAAAGCAGAGCCCTTGGGAGAAATCCATACAAGAGGACTTTATATTTCAAATCTGCATCTAGACGACTGTGAAAAGACACAACACCTGTCCAGAAAATAGCTTAGTTCCTTTCTACAGATTTCTGCTTGATTGTTTCAGATTTAAGTCTTTACCATAGTGACTTAAAAAACGAAAAGGAGAGTAACTAGATAACAATCACTTTGTGAAACTGTTACAAAGGAAAAAAGGAGTCAGACAATGAATGATAGCAAATATACTGTGGTCCAAGATAGATCATAAGAAAAAGAATTAGAAAACAATAACAGATACATGCAGAACTACTGCAAATTCCTTATTCTATTAATTTTTTCTTTGGGAGTGATGGTATAATGAGGGTGAAGGGGTGAGGCTTTCCACACTGCATCACAGCATTGTTGTATCGCTGGATCGCTAGATTTAATTGTGGCGTCATTTAACAGTTTACTCTGCCGTAAACACGGATACTAAAACCACACAGAAAATGTGCCATAAAACCAAAGCTATGAGCTAAAAGAAGCAAAAAAAAAGGTTCTGTAGAGCTGCATAGTTAGTGATTAGTCATTAAAACACCACAATCAACACTATCTCACGTTCATGATCCTGTCTCAAAGTACATGATGTACAATCAGCACAAAATTCCTAACTGCAGGAAGCTCTGGCGAAAAAAAAAAAAAAGTTTCCTC